TACGGTTTTATTATGCGTGTTATTTACAAACCTTAGCTTGTTCCGTCCCCTAGAATATTCCCGCGGTTGCATCGTTTCATGATCAAAAACGAGAAGTATCATATACGGTTTCGACTATAATAATACCACATAATGCAAACTTACTCTACTGTTTCATTATATATACACTTGAAAGGTTCAGTAATTGGTGGAGAACATTGGGCATTACGAGAATACTCCAAGTGGGGATAACGAAAGATTGATCCCAGCCTCATTGACCCACTAAGTATGTCTCCTGAGCTGGACATTCGATGATAGTGTTAGAAACGGAAACCATAGATTGTTGTGTAGCGTAGTATATGATACATCAAACTAACGTATTCGCAAATTTTGTGGTGAACAGTGGAATATACTCCCCATGCTTGTAATCTCTCCAAGTAGATAAGGGAGTGCGAAACCTCCATTGTCTTTATGATTATACTTTCTGGACATTCCAACATCTTACGATCACATTGCAGCTTGATCTCCAGGCTCGCACAGCCTACTCTGTGTACGGTTGGAGGCACGCTGATAGCATACGTGGGCACAATATCGAAGCAAATCTACTGACGCGCGCTTAGGCAAAATGACATCTTTCACAGCTGGAGACAAAGTCCTGGCACAGTTGATCAGATATCTCAATTATTCTTGAACATTGACGCCTAAATCCTTCACCCTTGAGGAGCGTGGCAGTTTAGTTTAGACGAAATATGAAAATCGACCCCCATGGCCAAAAGATAGAACTTTATATTTGCAAATACCGGTTTCCAAGTTTTTCTCAAGAAACCATAAATGAGCTGCGTTGAGAGTTTCCTGGAGTGCTAGCGAACCTCAAGTTTAGGTTATTCTATTCCAGCTTCTGAAGACATCTAGAAACATCATTTTTTGCCCTAGAACATTTTGTGAACTGTTTCTGACTGTAAGCAATGGTTGGAAATCGAGCACAAATCCTTGTGAAGCGATGCTGATAAAATTGAAACGTAAAGCTGAAATACGGACAACTACTGTCGGATGTTGAAGAAGCGCTTCTATTCAAGCTCAAGACCTTGAATCCGTTAATTGTACAGCTTATGAAGTAGTATTCGGTGGTTCGCCGGATTAAATGCTTTTGAAAAGTCCAGGTGAAGTGCATCCACTATGTTCCCTTCATCTCGGGTATGAAGTAAGTTGGTAGCACAGGATTACTTTTGCTAAGACCCATATTCAACGGGAAAAGAAGCGTTATACGTTTCTGGGTGTTCTATCAGGGAATCTGTCACAACCGACTTCATGAATAATACTGGAAGGAAGGTTATAAATCGGTAAATCGGGGGTGGGTGGTTAACTTTGGCAGTTACTGATGTAAATGGTTGAAACAACGATTGTTTCCGCAATCGTGGGAGAGTATAGTGCGGTCGAACATTCACTGGAATAGGAAGGTGAGTAGTTCAGGTACATGCTTCAGTTACTAGTTAAGGGCATGTGGGTGCGTATGGTCCGCACCTGGGGATAAAATTCGTAACCAAGTCAATAGTCCTCCTTGACGTTTCCAGTGAAACGTCTTACGATGGTCAGTAAAAGACATGGTATGTGATGCAAACGGTGAGGAAGCCACAGATATTGAATGCTTGGTGCAGTAAAACACGAGTATATTGGATGTCCGGCATTTTCGCCTCTTACATAATAGTTGTAGTGACCCCAACCCCAACGAGAACTGTTGAACGGTGTTATATATTTGACTGTCCCTGATGAGTTAACCTAAGTGTACAACAGCTTGGGGTTAGAAAGGAATCTGTGATTCAGAGACTGTTGATATATCAAATTAGCCTCATGCGTCATCCTGGTAAAGTGGTTTCTCAAAAGTCAACAAGTATTCCAAATGATAGATAGATCTTTTAACAACATACACATCAACGATCATGGTGTGTTAGCTGAGTATTCAGACTCTGAGCTGCTTTGAAGTCTGACTCAGTAATTGTCTCAAGCGTACACCTGGTGATTTCCCTTTTTCTCTTCTCTACTATAACTGCAAAAATGTAGCGGCCGTTTATGGTTTAACAAGAGTAACCTTCAATATTCTCGGGCTGTTACCATGGCAATTTTCTGAAAAAGTAGGAATAATGATTGAAATCGTAAAAGCACTGTGAAATTCAAGTAGACCTTGTATAAATCGCCATTTATTGCCGTTTTTCCAGTATCTTTATGACTCCAGCCTGTGGTCCGAGTGTGGTAATCCGTAGAAAAACATCACCTTTTTCTCAGCCCTTTGTGCATTGTTCGGGCCAGCTCGATGATGTCCATGATCTGTCAGGTACAACGGTTGCTTTATAAAATCCCTGTCCGAGAAGGCGACTAGATGGGAGAATATCTTCTACGTCCACTTCGTTTTCCAAGGTCTGGATTACTCAGCGTGAAGTGTGGACAGTTAATATCTTTGAGGCTCACACCTAGGGGACGCATACCTCAATGCTTCCAGTTATCAAGTTCTTCTACTTGTCGCTGCTTTGGTGTTTGAACAATTGGTTCGGGTGGATGATTGTCTTAGCAGTCATCTGTACCGCCTAAATATTGTGCGTTTGACTAGCAGGTGTTTTTGGGGTTAGTGATGTTCTCCAGTTCTGGAAAAACACTTATGATCCTCGATGTTTTGACATGTGACTAATTTCAGCTGGGCATATGAAGTGCATTGGAGTAGTGCTATTTAAGGAACACTGAATACTCTGTTTGGAACTCAGGGGAAGAACCTAGTTATCTTATCATCTGGTCTTGAATTTTCCCATTCGTCATCTCTTTGGTAGTTAATAATCACTTTCAAACTCACAAACAGATCCAACATTTGAGCCTAAATACTTAAATTGTTCTCCAATCAGCCAGAA